CGTCCTGAGCCGCGGAGCCGCGGAGCCGCATCCAGAGCAGGAAGCCGGCGGACTGCTGGTGTGGTGCTGCAGCTGGTGTTGTGAATCAGGCCGACGAGCAGCGCATCCTCTTACCCGGCTATTTCACGACACCAGGGTTGCATCATACCCATCCTCTCCGGGCGAGCCTCGTGGGACCGGGCGGCCACAGACTCGGGTGGCGGGCGACGTGTGGTGGGCTGGGCGGGGGGTTGGGGTGGGGTGGGTCTGTGTGTGAAAGATTGGTCCCTTTGGTTCCCTGGGTCTTTGTCAGCCTGCCCCTCAGGATCACCTGGGGAGCCTTCCAAAAACCCGGAGCCCAGCCCCTCACCCCTTCCTCTGCCCCAGGCCCCTAGGATCTCCAGGGTGGGGCGAGAGAGTCTGTGTTCTTTAGGGGTTCCCGTGGGATGCCCGAGCGCAGTCAGGGGTGAGCCCAGGGCTCCTCGCTGGGCTGCTGCCATGGCCTCTCCATGCCCTCCCTGGCCCTGCTCTTTCCACCTTGCACGGCTCACACCACAACTGCTGTTTCCCAGCAGCTTTCCAGAAATAGATGGCGTCCAATACTCTGGGACAAAAGCCAGGCTCCTTCCGCTGGCCTTTACCAGGTTTCCCTGCTCAGGAATGATGCTGCCATTTCCCCCACACGGCCCCTTCTTCTGTCAAATGCCTGCCCTTCGTGAATCCATGTGCTGGTTCTGTCAGCTCTGCCTTCACAATATACCTCATCTCCCAACACCCCTCACCACCCCACCATGCATAGCTGCTCCCCTGGCCTGGCCACCACCACAGGGCACCTGCGGTGGCCCCTGACTAGCAGCCTTGCCTCCCTCCGTCCATCCTCCATACAACAGCCAAGGTGATTTTTGACAATTAGAAATCTGACCATCCCATAGTAGAGTAAAAAACTTCTGACCCTAGTTTCCAAGGCCCTATGTTCCCCCTTTCATGTCTCACACCCCATCTCCTGGGTCCTTCTGCTCCACCACACCGACGACCTCTTTGCTATCTTGAAGCTCCAACTGCACTCTGATCCCAGGGCCTTTGCATATGCTCTCCCCTCCATCTGGAAGCCCCAAACTTATACCTATCATGTATGGGCGACTCCTTCTCATTATTGGAGCTCAGCTCAAATTTCTCATTCTCAGGCCTAAATGTCCCTCCAAACTTTTTTTTTTTTAAAGCTTAGTTTTCTTAAGAGCACTTATCACTAAATGTATTATAAGTATTGTTTGTTTATTTACTGTCTGTCTCCCCACTAGAATGTGAGCTCCAGAAGGGCAGGGTCTTTGTCTTGTTCTCCGTGGTGCCTCCCTTACCTAGCACAGGGCATGGTATGCAGTAGGCACTCAATAAATGTGTGTGAATGAAGAAACACCTTATATTTCCCCCCTTTCTTCCCTCCACCACTGATCCCCATGGCATTGTGTGCTTCAGACCTGGACACACCTTCCCTTGCACTGATCCCAGACACCAGAATCCCTTCCCTCTCCCGGGCAGTTGCCATGATCACCTAGTTGGCCTGTCTGCCAGGCAAGGCTATGAATTCCAGTGCTGATACACAGGAGGAGCCCAATAAATGATTAAGTGGCTCTGTGGCCTTGAAGACAGGAGCCCCTGAGATCCAGAGGTTATAGCAGAAACCCCCCGTCCTGACCATTTCAGCCCTGTGTCTGGGGTTTTCACTTCTGGGGAGTTTCCTGACCACTGAGCCCTTAGTTCCTTTTCCTGCCTCTGTTCTCCTTCCCCCTGAGAAGGGGGAGACTCAGGGAGCCCTACTGCTCTCACCTGGGAGCCGACACTGACGAGCTGAGTCATACCTCACACCGATGCAGCCATTGATTCCGTTCTGCTGCTGAGGCTCATCCCAGGCAGGTGACTTGTTCAAAGTCACGCGGAGACTGAAGCCTGAGTAAGCTTGAGACTCAGTCCCAGGGTTTTCATCAGTTCGGGCGCTATCAGACTCTGAATCCTGGTTCCCGGTCCTGCGGGGCTCAGGGAGCCTTGTGGAAGCTGAAGTCCGAGCCAGCACCATGGCCCCCACCTGGAAGGGTGTCTCCGATTTGATGACATGCCACCCACATGCAAGAATCCCCTTTCCTGGAGGTCTGGGCTTTGGGGCAAGGTATCCTGACGGTCTCTTCAGCTCGTTACATTGCTAAGCCCTTTAAAGGGTCCTGTTTATAAAACTCCCACCTCACCCCCAGAGAGAAGAGGAGGAGCAGAAAAGATTTCTTGAAGCAGCAAGATTCTCCCTCTCGGGCCAGAAGGGACCCTGGAGCTGACCCAGGTCTGCATTTCATGGAGGGAGGAAGAAGTTACTTGTCCAAGGTCACCCCGCAAATCTGTGGCCCCTCTGTCTGACTGTGACCCCAGTGCTGCTAGAAACCAGCCCTGGCCCCTTCTGGCCCCTTCCTCTCCTGAGATGATAATCAGGAAATTTCCACAGTTGCTCCAGGGACAGGGTGTGTAGGATTGGTGAAAGGGGGTGTTGGGCCACTGTGACTTTTGCATGTCAAGTGGCAGCTGAAAGGTGAGAGAATGATAAGATCAGCCCAGAGGCGCCATGTGGGGGAATGAGTAACTTGCCGGCCTCTCTCTGACCGGACTAGAGTGAGGGCCCGCAGTGAAGGTAGAAAACTGACCTGGAGTCCTCCCCTCCGAGCCTTCCGCCCCATTGCCAGCCAGTGGGGGCGTGAGGACACGCTTCTCCAGAAGCCTCGCTGAGGGGGGGCTAGAGATCCTGGGAAGGGGGTAGGTAGGCCTGGGGGGTCATTAAGAGGAGCTCCAAGAAGAGTCTTTTTAAAAATGAACACACATGAAGATACATGAACTTTGCAAAGAGCTAAACAGTGATCATAACCGTTTGGGTTTGTCATTAAGGGCCTGTCATCCCCAGCTCCCCTCTGTGTCTGGTTGAGCTGGAAGAAGGCCCGGGAGCCGCCCCTTGCAGCCCTGACTTGGGGTACCTCTGTCAGCCGAGGGTTTCTATCACAGCTTCTCTCTGTCCTCTTTGCTTCTAACTCCCTTTCAATATTCATTCAACAAACATTTGTTGGGTACCTCCCCTGTGCTGTTCCAGTTGCTTGGGATTTTCAGTGAACAAGATAGGCCCAGATCCCTGCGCCCATGGGCTTGCCTTCTAGCCAGCTGGGCAAAATCTAGGTCCCCCTTCCCAGAAAAATGCACTTAGATGTAAAAATTTGTCCACAATTGCATGGGGCTCTTGGCCTCAGTTCAAGCATCGTCATCTTGGCGGATGACTCCATAACACGGTTTGCTACTCCAACACAGTCCAAGTATCTCCACCTGCCTCCTTCTGCCTGGCCTACAGTTGGGCACACCTGTCCTGGGCCCCTCTGGACCGGAGCATGAGGGGACAGGCAGACCCCTCTGTAAGTTCTCAGTCAACTAAGGCTGACTTGCTGTTGGAGGTCATGGAGTCCAGAGAACTCTAGGCATCTTGGAGAGCCCAAGTCTGAGAAGCAGGGCAGAGAGGGAGAGAAAGCGTGTCCCTCCATGTCCCTCCTGAGGATGGCTGGCACATGACATAAGCCAAGCTCAGTAGTCTGGAGCTGGCCGTGGCCTCCATCCATCCCCAGCCTCCGGAGAAGTGACTCATCCCTTCAAGACAGGCTTCTGACCCATCCCTGCAGTCCCCACCCTGCCCCTCCTCCAGGGGTGTCTCTCCCATTGCTGCCCTCACTCCATAGCTGGGCTGGGCTGTTTCCATGTCCTGTCCCCCATGCTCTCAGCAGCACCATGAGCACACGCTCGCCTTCCCCGAGGTGGCACAGCAGGCGCCTACCCCAGTAACTCAGCTCTGCTGTCGACTTTCAGGTTTCAACTTGGATTTCAACCCCCACCACTGTAATAGCTCAGGTGCCTCTGGTGACCAGAAGGCTCCCCCACCAGCCCCGCCCCCCATGCATTCAAGGGGTGGCTCAGTGAGGCCTCAGAGCCTCAGGGGTGGCCAAACAGACAGGGGCCTCTGTCTGGGCTGGCCTGAGGGAACACTGTCTCCTTGGGCTCTGTAACCAGTATCCTGGAGGCAGACCAGAGTGTGTGGGCTGGGGACCCAGTCACCCTGTGGGCCACTGACCAGTGACAAGCCCCAGGGACTCATCAGTCCACGGGGGGGGGGGGGGGGGGGG